GCAGGATTAATGAAGTGGTTCCCTCACATCCTCTGAGGATGAAAAATTCTTTCTTCTCTTTTAATATCATGATGAATGCATGGATTTAAACATAGTTGAGGGGTTTCAAGCCACTATAATTATTATATTCATTAAAGCTCAAATGTTCCATATTTGGCCAGTGGGAGCTTCTTTAGGTTGACTCCAGAGTCCTTCTAACATGACCCTAGTCAGATCTGATAACTTCATTGTGGCACTGTTTCACTGTCTTTTTTTTAAGTTTATTATTTTTAAGTAATCTCTACACCTAACATGGGGCTCAAACTCACAACCCTGAGATCAAGACTGAGCCAGCCAGGCGTCCCTGCTCTATTTCATTGTAAAGAGCTTCACTTTCGTGCTGGCCAACTGCTTTCAGGGGTCTTTGTCACATGTCTCCCACTTCCAGAAGGGCTCCCTGCTCAGTGAGATGTCTGCTTGTCCCTCTCCTTCTCCCTCTCCCTCTGCCCCTCCCCCAACTCGTGCTCTCTCTCAAATAAATAAAATCTTTAAAAGAAATACAAAATAGGGGCGCCTGGGTGACTCAGTTGGTTAAGCGTCTCCCTTCGGCTCAGGTCATGATCCCAGGGTCCTGGGATCGAGCCCCGCATCGGGCTCCCTGCTCGGCGGGAAGCCTGCTTCTCCCTCTCCCACTCCCCCTGCTTGTGTTCCCTCTCTCGCTGTGTCTCTCTCTGTGTGTCAAATAAATAAATAAAATCTTTAAAAAAAAGAAATACAAAATAAAAGTAAAATAAAACCCTGAGGGAGGGTGGGCTGGTGAGTTAGGCTGCATCGTATTGAAGTTACTGGGTGTCATTTTTCCTTCTGCTTCCATGCCTGCCGCACAGCCCTGCAGAACTACCTGCCCTTACTCTGTTTGTGCCTCTTCCATCCTGGTGCCTGTGAGGCCAGTCTCAGCCCCTCAGTAACCATTGCTGTGGTTGGACCAGCCCTTGTGGTTCTTACTATGATTGCAAGATGCCCCTTAACAACAACCATTAGGAAATTTTGAAGAAATAAAAGTGTATTACTTACGAGGCCTGGAAATGACACAGAACACCTGCGGCCACACAGCAAGGTCGTTGGTAGAGAGAGTGCTCACGGGGGCCCGGGGTTATGTTTTTATTAGGGTCAAGGGTGGGGGCATAGGGCTTCATGGGCTTACTATCGGTGAGTTTGAAACACAAGCGTGGGAAGAGAAAAAACAAGCAGCCCAAATGGTCAGTTATCAAAATCAACCACGATCTCTAAAACCGAGGTGCCTCGGTGGGGTGAGGGGCCCTGCTCTCCATCTCGTGTTGTGGCTAGCCATGTGTTCCTTGGAGAAAGTGTCTTTGAAGTGGAAGCCTCTTTGAAATGGATGCCTCAGCAATCAAAGCTTAAGTCAGACACTTGCATTACAAAAAAGAAACAAAATAACTGGAATATAGGCCCTCACCAAGGTGCCTTTGCCCTGGCTGCTTCCTTGGCCCTTCTTCAGGCTAAGCTTAGCCATCCTGGAAGCTTCCCCAGGCCCACCAGTCTGATAGAGTTGTGTTTTTTGTGTGTTCCCCTAGAATTTTGGCTTTCCGTTATCATAGTGCTTACCTCCCTGACTGCAATTGTCTGTTTATCCATCTGCCCGCTTCCCCTGCTGCCCACAAGACTGGGTGGCAGGGTGTGTGCCTTGTGCACCTCTGTTTTCCCATGATCTGCATGGTAGGCCATCAAGAGATAGTTGTTGAACAAATGAGTGGAACCGAGTGGAACAAATAAACGTCTTTTCCTAGGCCTCATACCCAAGGACGTAGCTCATTCTAGGTCAGGGCTAAGTGGGGAGCCAAGGAGCCCTAGGTCTTCCCTCGTAGCTCCCCAGAATGACATGTGTCAGCCCTCTGCCGCTGCAGTCATTGCCCTGGGTTGAAATCTACCCATTTCATATTTCTACCTCTTTACCATCCCAGCCAGATAGCAGGCTCTTTTAGGGACCAGCTCTCACCCCCCTTCTCTGTCTCCCATCAGTTTTGGGGGGGAAAGTAATATCAAGAATGATCTTTCCCCTCAAACTGCTATTAAAGGACGAGAAAGCTGTTCCCATAAAATTAAGAGAGCAATTAAGTTGAAACTTGGTTCTGCACTCGGTTTGACTTCCTCTTTTAGAATCATTTTTGGGAAGTACAACAAAGTTCCTCTTCACATTTCCCTACCAAAGTCGCCTTTGGAAAGTTTGGGGTACCCCAGGATCCCCGTGAAGGCTTTCCTTAGCAGGAACACGTGGTGTTCCCTCATCCTCTGGACCCCTTCCCTGGGCGTGCACCATCTCGGGGAAGCCAGGGATATCCCTGTTTGCCCAGTTTCCCATCCCCCCATGTTCCAAAGCCCATAGTGACACTTGAGCTCCTTCTCTCCTGTTTAGTGGCCCCACCCCATCCGATGCCATGTTTTTGCAACAGGAATTTATTGAATCACTCATTTTTCTCGTCCTCCTGGATCATTCCCATGAGCGCACAAACATGCTGTTATTTCTCCTGTCTCAAAAACAAGGACTTAATCACACTGGTTTGTCCCTCTTCCGAGTGGACAAACGTCTCCTCAGAGGTTTACAGTGTCTGTAAAGGCAGAACCAAGCCAGGGCTCACCTGCCAGGCACCGTTTTCCCCTCCTTGTCCCAACCCAACGTGAAGTGGCTGCCCACCCGCTCCTGGCTGCCCCTTGCCATGGCTTCAAAAGGGTTTTCTAGTCTGAGGCGACAGAGTAGGCCATTTGTGATGATTGGCCTTCCCCCTTCAGTGCTTGACCAGGTTCTCTGCTGCCTTGGATCTCACATGCCCTGGGCAGGGAGGGATCTGAGAACACTTCAGTGGCGGGTTTTCCTTTTCCCCTGGCATCTTGGTCTAAGCTGGTGGGCTTATGAATGTGTCAGGCATACATGAAGCTTGAGATACAAAAGACTTCCTGTTCCAGTGGTCACCATGCCTCCTGGCAGAAGCCCACACTTCCTGCTGTCACACATGCCCCTGCTCAGAAGAGCAAACCACAGAGCTATAAATCTCTCCACTTGGCATTTGCCAACTGCAACAGCGAGTATCTCTAATGGTTAAGAGCCCTGCTGCCAGCCAGTCAGCCTGTGAGAAAATGGGGAACTTGAGGAAGGTCTTCAGGAGAGGGCAGGGAAGTTTACAGATGCTGAGGACTCCTTAGAATGGTGGGGCCACGGTCAATTCCAAATAAACGTCTTTTCCTATAGGCCTCATACCCAAGGACGTAGCTCATTCTAGGTCAGGGGTAAGTGGGGAGCCAAGGAGCCCTAGGTCTTCCCTAGTAGCTCCTGTGGCATGCAGAGCCATGTTTCTTTGAAACATCATTCTCTTTTCTGAACATGGACTAAGCTTTCCCTGATCATTTTACCTCAATGCTTGGCTCTTTCTGAGATTCCTGTTGCACTAAGGAAAGTTCCTTTTAATTGTTTTAGTGTTTCTCAACAGGGCATGATAGCTTTGGGCCAGACAATTCCTATCCTGCTCCACCCCCAACCTTTAGGACATGCAAAACACGCCTATTTTCAGATGCCCTCTGGGGTGTCCCAAACACTATGATTTAGGAGGTGAATGCTTAAGTGTCTTCCATCTTTTTTTTTTTAAAGATTTTATTTATTTATTTGCGAGAGAGAGAATGAGAGATAAGAGCAAGAGAGGGAAGAGGGTCAGAGGGAGAAGCAGACTCCCCGCTGAGCAGGGAGCCCGATGCGGGACTCGATTCCAGGACTCCGGGATCATGACCTGAGCCGAAGGCAGTCGCTTAACCAACTGAGCCACCCAGGCGCCCAAGTGTCTTCCATCTTAAAAAAAAAAAAAATTCAAGGGGCTCCTGGGTGGCTCAGTCGTTAAGCATCTGCCTTCGGCTCAAGTCATGATCCCACAGTCCTGGTATCAAGTCCCACGTTGGGCTCCCTGCTCAGCGGGGTGTCTGCTTCTCCCTCTGCCTCTGCTGCTCACCCTGCTTGTGCTGTCTCGCTGTCAAATAAATAAATAAAATCTTTTAAAAAAAATCCGTTGTGGGCACCTGGGTGGCACATACGGTTGAGCGACCGACTCTTGGTTTAGGCTCAGGTCATGACCTCAGAGTCCTGGGATTGAGCCCTGAGTCCGGCTCCGTGCTCTGAGTGTAATCTGCTTTAGATTCTCTCTCCCTCTCCTCCCCGTCCCACTGTTTGCTCTGTCTCTAAAATAAAAGTAAAAAAAATCCTTTGGCCCAGACCTCTCTCCCACTTTATAGTCAGACATCACTAAAGAATTGGCTACACTCCCCCTCTCTAGTTTTTTTTACCTCACACTCATTACTAGTTTTTCCATCCTCACTTGAGTTCAAATCCCTTCCTATAGCTGGACACCTTAGTTAATTTCTCTGAACCTCAATGTTCTCATACAGAAAATGGACATAAAAATAGTTACCTCTCCCATAGGATAGTTTTGGAGACTAAATGGGTTATGGTAAAGCACTTGGGGGTTTACAGAAAGACAGTGGTCAACTTCAGATGATGAAGTCAAATGTATATGATTCTTCCTTTCTTGTTGAGCAATTCTCTAGAAGTTAAATAACAGTGTTAGATGATACAATGGTGGGCACTCCTCATCTGTGTCTGATTTGAATGTCTCATCTTGGCTTTTGGATTGAGACGGATGGTGGTAAGAAAGCTTTCTTATTCGTCACTAAGGTTTTTTTTCAGCATGAGTATACATCCGTTTCTATTACGTACCTTTGCCACATCCATGGTGACGATTGTACGACTCCAGTCCTGAGGACCCATCCTTACAGTCATTGAATAAAACAGACTTGAAGATGGTGCATTAGTCATTTCATCCAAAGCTGGGTGGATTTGCATTTCCTTGTTGGAATGGCCTGTTGATTTTTCTGCCATTCTTGTCATGAAGTAGGATCTCGGCAGAGCCCGAGAAGCAAGCGCCATGGGTGCAGTAACTCCCTGTCGTATCGCCTCTCCGCAGGCCTGGCGCAGGCGCTGGTTTGTCCTCCGGCGGGGCCGCATGAGCGGCAACCCCGACGTGCTGGAGTACTACAGGAGCAAGCACTCGAGCAAGCCCATCCGCGCCATCGACCTGAGTGAGTGCGCAGTCTGGAAGCACGTGGGCCCTGGCTTTGTGCGGAAGGAGTTTCAGAACAATTTCGTGTTCATTGTCAAGACGACTTCTCGTACCTTTTATCTGGTGGCCAAGACCGAGGTGGAAATGCTGGTGTGGGTGTACAGCATCAGTCAGGTCTGCAACCTCGGCCAGCTGGAGGATGGTGCAGGTGAGAGCAGAGCTGGGGTTCCTGTGCGCCAGGCGGGGGTGGGGGAGGTGAGCAGGAGGGCCACGGACGAGGTTGGCCCACCTCCTCAAGCGTGTCTGGACAGGCTACTTGATATCAGAATTGTTCCCACAAAGTACACGTCTAGAGGTGGCTTCCTTTCACCTGGTTTTAGATTTCAGGCCTGAACATGCCACATCCTGAACGTTACAAGTGACTTCAGTGGCTTCGAAGCCACTCCACAGCTTTGCTTGCATCATTCACAGACAGCAGATGCAGTAAAAGTAGAATGTGGGTGAGGATGTCCTGGAAGGCTCTGGTTTTCCCCATGCTGTTGCTGCTGCTGATTTCCAGGAAATATTAAATATCACTGTTTTGGGGTAATTCACGGAACTCCAGTTTTTCTGTTGTCGACTGGGTTGTTCAGCCCTGGGTGGTAGAAAGACAGAACTCGGCTACTTCTCATAGGCAGGGAAGAATTTCTCATATCTCCAATAGGCTTGAGCTGTGTGCAGGACAAATTAGCTCTGAGGTTGCTCTGGGCCACTCCTGGGCTTGCTTTCTCTCACTCTCGCTCACTCTTGCTCTCTCTTTCATACACGTGCAAGCACATGTATTCCTATGTAATGTACTGGGTATCGTGCACCTAGCGTTACAATTCACTTACCTTCATGGAGTTTGCTGTGGAGCCCCTGATCCTCAACCTGTGAGATCTTGAATCTGATTTCCTTTAGCATGTTAGTCAGTCCTAAGTTCCAGTGGGCAATGGCTTCAACATCTCCACCCTTACTATATGCTTATCACCTGCCACGGAAACACACACTGGAACGCTAGGTGGCAGTGGGGAGTCAGCTGCAGCTGTCTAGGGTGGCACAGGACCGTGTGCTTCCTGAGGACAAAATCCTTTTCTTTTCATGAACTTGGGAAGCTTAGTAAGTGCAGTTAGCTATTCAATCACATTACTGAGCTTCAAAAGCACTGAAATAAAAGGAAATGAAGTGATGGCAAGCTCTTTATCCTTGCTACAACAGATGAAGCTTACTTGCAAAGCTGCAGTGAATCCTTCCTGGCCAGAGTCCCAACGCGGTGCAAACAGAATGTCCCTGACCAATTCTTCCAGGCTTGCCACTCGCTCTCTGCCACCCTAGTCCCTACCTTCAGCCCAAACTACGTACATAACCGTGTGCAGTGTTACGTGTCTCCTCTATTTCTTTCCTCATCCAGGAGTTATCCTAAAACATAGACATATAACATGTTTCCCAGTATCCAAAGTGGAACAGGAATGAGTCAGACACCAGGCAGAAAGTGGACAGGTCTGGCGGGAATTTGGAGGAAGCCAGAAACCACCCCCTATGACCTTTATCATTCCCTGTAGCCCCCCCCCCTTAGTTTTTAAGAGGATGTAAGAGCAGAGAGTCCTTTTCATCTGAGAACCACGCCCGGAGGCCTTTCTTGTGGCTTTTCACATAAAGTGTTTGGTCCTGTATCCAGCAACCTTAGCTAGTCAACGCATCATGTGCACTCTAGCCAGGAGCTCTGCTAAATGCTCTTGTGTATTAGCTCATCTTATCCCCAGACTGATTTTGTGCTGTATGTGCTATTAGCATCTCCGCTTTACAAAGAAGGAAACTTGCAGCAGGTAGGTATCAGGCCTACGGTTCCAGCAGCTAGATAGTAGAGTCTGGACTTGAACTCAGGCAGTTCTGGGCCACTCGGACTCAGGAATCCTGAACTTCTGCCAGCGTGGTTCAAAGGGAAAATAAAAGCCGACTTTTCATTGGAAATCTCTGAATATCATGCTCCTTGAGAAATGTCGGCTTTACCAGCCATCACACCCTATTTCTTTCTTTCCTTTTCCTTACACATCATTACCATTATTCTTTATTTATGTTTTATTTGTCTGTCTCCTCTAGCGGACTGTAGACTCCAGTGAAGGCAGAGTCTGTCTTGGCAGAGTTAGAACAGTTCTGCATGCATAGTAGGTGCAATAGGAGGTATTCTGCATAGACAGAAATAGACATATATCTGCATACGCAGACGTACATATCTGCACACATGCATATGTAAGTGTGTACATACATGTTATGCATAAATATACGTGTGTGTGTGTGTGTGTGTGTGTGTGTGTGTATTTGTTGAGTGAATAAACAGTAATGCAGGGCTATGGCCGAGAGCCATAAAGAAGCTGTGAGTAGACTATGTTACTGCAGATTTTTAGACCAAGAATGCTTGGCTTTTTTTACTCTTAATTGATTCAACACTTCACTCTTGGAACGTTGGCCTTCTTCCCCAGACATTGTTTATAGCTTGGGGAAATGGTCTCCTCCATCAGTACAAACACCAGCTGTGATTTGCATCTTCTATTTGGCCTCGTAGATGCTGTTTGAGATTTGTGAGTGAGTGCTATAGCCATTCTTAAACGTTAACCCAGGAAATGATTTCTCCAGCAGATTCCGTGGAGAGCTTCTCTCGCATGCCCTGCTCCCTCCAGCCATCCCCTGCCAGCTCCCTTCCCACCTCCTTGCCGAGAGATGACCTAAGCACGAATTCCGTAGCCACCGAGGAAAGCAGAAGTGAGTCAGAGTTTCTCTCCCTTCCTGATTATCTGATTCTGTCCAACTGTGAGACTGGAAGACCGCGGCACGCCAGGTATGCTCATGTGCACGTTTCTCTGTGTCTGGCGGGCTCTGGCGCTGAGATGTGTGCTCAGTGTGCCTGACCAAAGCAGTCCATTTAGCTGTAGCATCCTCTGGTGGGTGTGTCTCCCCTCACCTCTTCCTGCGGCAGCCAAGGTGGGGACAGACCACCATCAACCACTATGAGGGCTGAGTCATGCATGTGGCTTTCACGTCTAACCTTGAGTTTTCATATGTATCTGACACCAATAGGATGACAAAAATCAACAAACCATTGGTTCCTGCATCCAGGGATTGGTGAGGGCTGTGGAGGGAATGTGGAAGCATGGGAAAGAGGCCAGCATGGGTTTTGTCATGGATAGGTGGCCTTCTTCTTCTGACTTCTGCCAGGGACTTGCTCCATTTCAGTCACATTTATATGCTTTTTTCCCCAGTCTGCCCACCAGATGTGATAGCTGGTCAAATTCAGACCGCTCATTGGAACAGACTTCATTTGATGACGTTTTTGTTGACTGCCTGCAGCCCGTGCCCCCCAGTAACTTGGCCTACCCCTCACGCCATGGGAGTGGCTCTCAGAAGGCGCCTTCCCTGAGGCCTCAGGCTGCCCTGATATGGAGCAGAGATATCAATGGGCCAACCAGGGATCACTGTTCTTCACCATTGCCAGAAACTTCCTTAAATTCCACCGTTCAGGTAGATAAAAACCAAGGTTCCTTGCCCTATGAGGCCAAAGAACTAGACATCATGTCCAGCATGCCACCTCCCCGCCCCCCGAAGCCAAGCCATCTCTCTGAACGGCGCCCAGAGAAGCAGCTCAAGAAGCCAGAGTGCACTATGGCACCAAGAAGAATCTCTCTCTCCGGTTTAGATAACATGAGGACCTGGAAAGGTAAGTGTTGGATGCTGACAGTGAGAGTGAAGCCTGCCTCCTCTTTACTCCTTGTGTCCACATGAGGACATTGCAAGTGTCCCTGACTCAAGCCAGGCTGGTCTTCCAGTAGGACCAGGCCATTGGTGGAAGGACACAGCCTGAATGCTCGAAATTCCTCTTCAAGTCTGGCCACCGGTAGAGATACTTAAGTCAGAGCCCTTGTCCCTTAGCCATGCCTCTGTCCATGTGATGGGCTCCCTACCTGAGACTAAGCTCCTGGTGTTTGTTTAGAGTCACTCAGGGTCCCACTCGGTACAGAAGGTGACATATTTTGCCTCCGTTCAGCCAGATTCCATTCTTTGGCTCTCACGTGCATAGTGAGAAGTGTGATGGTAGAGACCATAGCTCTTTTCTTTTCCAGCAGTCCCATCGGCCCTCTTCCTTCTCCCACCTGACACGTTCTTTCCAGGTTTAGCTGACTGTCCACTAGTGATATAGCTTTTTACCAAGTTGTCACCATTAAGATAATTCTCACCCAGCCCTATCAGCTAGGTCTGTTGGCATGCCCTCCTGGAGCCCTCTTTTGCCTTTTCTCTGTAAAGCTGTTTATTCTAATGGGGTCGCCTTGCTGCCTCCTCTCTCTCTCTCTCTCTCTCTCTCTCTCTCTCTCTCTCTCTCTCCTCTCCTCTCCCTCTCTCCCTCTCTCCGCCCCCACCCCCCGCCAATGTTCCAACCAAATATGATCAATGTAATCACTCCCACACTGCTACCTATAAGGTCATATCGTAAAGGAATTCTGCAAGTTTAAGGAATACAAACCCATTTCAAATTGTGTCAGTTTCTCATTCTGACTGTGGAGCTAAGGCATTCTGGCAGAGACCTCCCCCCAGTGCCCCTAGTGATGCGAACTTTCCACGTTACTTTCTGCCAACCTCGATGAGATGAGTATAGCTGAGTACACAAAGGGTCCTAATGTGCTAACATGTGAACAGTGGGCAAAAGGGGAAAACGGAAAGAGTATGTCAGCAGATTTTGGAAAGTGAAATTGAATGAGTGCCTGACTGGCTCAGTCGGGAGAGCATGCCACTCTTGATCTTGGGGTTTGTAAGTTGAAGCCCCACATTGGGTGTAGAGATTACTTATAAAATCTCTTTTTTTTAAGATTTTATTTATTTATTTGAGAGAAAGAGAATGAGACAGAGAGGGAGCATGAGAGGGGGGAGGGTCAGAGGGAGAAGCAGACTCCCTGCTGAGCAGGGAGCCCGATGTGGGACTCGATCCCGGGACTCCAGGACCATGACCTGAGCCGAAGGCAGTCGCTTAACCAACTGAGCCACCCAGGTGCCCACTTACAAAATCTTTTTAAAAAGGTCTCAAATTGAAGAACAAAACATTGACATAATTTAAAATTTCAAGACAGACCTAAAATACTTAGGTTGTATTCTTTTACATGAAGGCAACAAAGTCTCATCAAAATGAAACTCATTGAAACAGAGTATTTGGGGCACCTGGGTGGCTCAGTCGTTAAGCGTCTGCCTTCGGCTCAGGTCATGATCCCAGGGTCCTGGGATCGAGCCCCGCGTCGGGCTCCCTGCTCCGCGGGAAGCCTGCTCCTCCCTCTCCCACTCCCCCCTCTTTGTGTTCCCTCTCTTGCTGTCTCTCTCTGTCAAATAAATAAATAAAATCTTAAAAAAAAAAAACAGATTTTGACCGTGAAACAAAGACCCAAAATGATAGTGATGGATAGAAGCAAAATGGATCCAATAAAGCAGAGGGAGTACATCAAATTGATTATTCTGCCTTCCTCATTGAGGTCTCCCTGGAATCGATGGTTGTGTGTGTGACAGCAGAGTGGAGTCAAGGTTCATTATTGTCCACATGGATCTCTGTCCAGTGACCCAGCACCCTCGACTGCAAAGGCCCTCGAATTCCCAACACTCTCCAGTGCCCCCTCTGCCATAAAGGAAATGCTGTGTATGGGGGGGGGGGTCTGCCTCTCAGCTCTGCTTTCTCTCCCATTGGGCCCCATGGTCCAGTCTGCACCAATGCCACAGTCCCTTAATTATTGACATTTCTGTCTTGCAGTCTTCCCATCTGTTCTTAAAGAGTACCATGCCTATTCTAGGCCAAGTTTATTTTATTTTATTTTATTTTTTCGACAGAGAGAGAGACAGTGAGAGAGGGAACGCAAGCTGGGGGAGAGGGAGAAGCAGGCTTCCCGCCGAGCAGGGAGCCCGATGTGGGGCTCGATCCCAGGACCCTGGGATCATGACCTGAGCCGAAGACAGACACTTAACCACTGAGCCACCCAGGCCCCCCTCTAGGCCAAGTTTAGAGTCAGTTGGTCAGGTTCCAAACATACAGACACAAATATATTGGGGATTTGAGGCAGACTGCATGGTATCTAAAATCCAACTTGTGAAGATTTGACATCCATACAATGTTGAGTTTTTCAGTTCGTGAACAGGAAATATCCTTCCATTTATATAGGTCTTATTTGATTTCTGTCTATAATTTGATTTATAGTTTTTAGTGAAGTCTTGCATATCTCTTATTAACATATTTCCACGTACTTATTCTTTTTTAATGTTATTGTCAATGGTATTTTAATATCTTTTTTGCTACTATATAAAAATTAATTTAGTTTTGGGGCACCTGGTTGGCTTTGTCGGTGAGCATCTGCCTTCGGCTCAGGTCATGATCCCAGCATCCTGGGATCGAGCCCCACGTTGGGCTCCCTGCTCCGCGGGGAGCCTGCCTCTCACTCTCCCTCTGCTATTCCCTTGTGCCCTCTCTCTCTCTGTCAAATAAAGAGATAAAAATCTTTAAAAAATTAATTTAGTTTTATGTTTTGATTTTGTATCTAGCTTTTCTAAACTAGAGATTATGTTGCATTTTCTTTGTTTACAATATCACATGCAAATACTAATAATAACTGCATTTCATCTTTTATAACACATATTTTCATTTACTTTTTCTCCTGTCCCTGCTTGGGCTAGGAAGTCTAGGACATTGCTGAATCGGAGTGGTCATAACAAGGACCCTTTTCTTATTCCAGCATTTCACCATTATGATGCAACCTGCAGATTTTTGTCGATACCATTCATACCATTCAGTAGATTAAAGACATTCTCTGATAACCCTACTTTGCCAAGTGTTATTTTTTAAAACTCATAATGGATTTTGAATTTGTTGAAACATTTTATGATCATATGATTTTTCTCTTTTATCCTCTTAATGTGAGGAAGTTTATTGGTTGATTTTTTTGAATGCCAAACCAACCTTGCATTCCTGAAATAAACTCAACTTCATCATAAAGGGTATCCTTTAAATAAATTACTAGATTTGTTTTGCTCATATTATGTTTTGAACTTGTTTTTTGATCTGTGTTTCTGAGGGAGATTGTCCTATACTTTTCTTCTGATAACTCCGTCAGGTTTTGGTAGGAGAGAAAAAGGTTATGCTGACTTCATAAAACAAACTAGAAAGTTTTCTTCTTTTTTAGTCTTTAGAAAAATTTGTGTATGATTGGTATTATTTCTACCTTAGTTGATTGCCAAAATTTACTAGAAAAGCCATTGGGACATGGGGTTTGCTTTGAGGAAAGATGTTTAAATTAAGGAGTTAGTTTCTTTCTTTAGTCTTTAATAGACTATTCAGATTTTCTATATTTTTCAAGCAATCTGCTTATTTCTCCTAATTTTTCAAATTTATTGTCATAAAATTGATTATAACAGCTTCTTGCTATCTGTAATAATAGCTTCTTTTCATTCCTGATATTCATAATGTTGGCCTTCATCTGTTTTTCTTAATCAGTCTTGCTGGCAGTTTATCATTTTTACTAGTTGTTTTGTTTTAAGTAAGCTCTATGCCCAAAATGGGGCTTGTACTCACGACCCTGAGATCAAGAGTCACATGCTCTACCCACTGAGCCAGCCAGGCACTCCTGTTTTGCATTGGTTTTTGTTTTGTTTTGTTTTGTGTGTGTTTGTTTTTCTTACCAGAGTACAAATTTTGGCTTTGTTGAATTTTTTTCCAGTTGTATATTTGTTTTCTGTTGCATAAACTTTTGCTCATATTTTTATTCTGTCTTTCCTTCTTGGGTCAGCAAACTGTGGCCTATGGGCCAAATCTGACCAACAGCCTGTTTTTTTACAGCCCACCAACTAAGAATGGTTTTTACACTTTTAAGGGGTTGTAAAAAAAAAAAAAATACTATTTGGTTCTTTCCAGAAAAAGTTTCCTGACCCCTGTTGTACTTCCTTGGAGGTAATTTGCCTATTTCCTAAATTCTTTTAATGGATGGGTGGCTTATTGAATTTCTGCCTTTCTTTTTTAACTAATGTACATGTTGAAGGCTACAGATTTTCTGTAAACACTGTATTAGCCACATCCCACACATTTTGAGATGTCATATTTTCATTTTCATTCAATGCAAAATATTTTCTAGTTTTCATTGTGGTCTCTTCTTTGCCCCTTGTGTTATTTAAAACTGCATTTCTTAATTTCCAAACCTGAGAATTTTCTAGTGATTTTTCTCATTGATTATATTTTGATTAGAGAACATCCTCTAGTTCAGTCCTTAGAAATTTGAGATTTCTTTGCAGCTCAATACACAGGTATTTTTGTGAATAATCTGAATATACCTTGAAAAGTATGCATACTCTGAAATTGCTCAGTGAGGTATTCTATGCAGGTGACTCAGGTCAAGTTCTTCAGTGATCATGTCGTTCATCCCTCCTCTATCTGCACTGTTTTTCTGTTTCCTTATTGTAGCAGTTACCAAGTTCAAGTCTAGCCCTATGATTGAAGAGTGAGTATCTCTTTCTCCTTTATAATTCTGTCAGATTTTTCTGTGTATAACTAAAAGCTATGTTATTAGTTACATACCGCTTAGGGATTTTATATTTTCCTAGTGAATTGAAACTTTTATCAATTTGTCATGACTCTCTAGTAATGTTTTTATCTTGAAGTCTATTTTATATGATGTTAACATAGCTGTGCCTGTATTAAGTACT